TGGGCTCGTGGGCCAGGTGGCCCAACTATCTGGTGGGGGCGTTCTTGAAATCAAGTGTCCTTTCTTCAGTGGCAAGCTTGAGCATGCAGGCCCATGGTTTCGGGTGCCCATGTGCTATGTCCCTCAAGCTCAAGGGCTGTTGGAGATCGTAGATAGAGAATGGATGGATTTTTATGTTTGGACCCCAAATGGAAGCAGCTTGTTTAGGGTTTGGAGGGACAGAGAGTATTGGGCCTTGTTAAAGGGTGCTTTGGCTGACTTTTGGTGGAAGCATGTGATACCGGCCCGGGAGATGTGTGAGAAGGAGGGGAGTGCTGAGGATGTGAGGGCATTAAGGCCTGCCTCGAGGCACGAGTTATGCGATCTGATTGTGGCAGCAAGTACAAAGCTCTCATGGGAGGCAAAGCTGCTGGTGAGGGAGATACATGGGAAGTTGAGGTGCTAGAGAGAGAGAGAGAGAGAGAGAGAGAGAGAGAGAGGTGGTAGTGAAGGAATAATTCAGGTTGTTTGCAAATTCAGATAGAGTGAGAAAGGATTTTTTTTTGGGTGTGTGTGTTCTTTAGAGTTGTGGGGATGAACGGATGAGGATTTTGAAAATGTGAGCTAGGCATAGAGACAGGTGGCCATGAAGGAATGGAGCCCTTCTGCCATTTTCTAGAGAGTTGGGGGCACCGTCCTCCGAAATATTTTGGTTCTTTACTAGAGAGAGAGAGAGAGAGGATTAATAGAAGTATGCAAGCTAATTGCTGTAAGTTTATCAAACTCATTTTTTTTATTTCATTAATCACAAGAATAGGGGAAGTGTTTATGTGCTTGGTCTTCTTGGTGTGAAGTGAGTTTAGATGCATTGTGCAGGTTAGGATGTTAGATAACCGATGGTTACCAGGTCCTTGTGCATCAATTACTGGCAATGCGTGCGTTGAAGCCTTTGTTGCATGGTGGTTGAAAGTTTTGAAATCCAACCAGAAAGCGAACAGAGATGAGAGCACATATAATGTGCTCCCCATGGAGCAAATTGGATCCAATTGAAAAATAAAGAATTTATTTGGGGTTTTATTATTATTATTTTATTTTATCATTTTGGCAAAGATTGGAAAGTGTTTGGCCTTAATAAATATTTATTTTTATATTTTCCCTTTTTCTTTTGGATTATTTTAAAAATATATCCAGTTAAAAGTTGATTTTTTAAAATCTAATTTTTTTTTTACTTAATTTTACTCTAAACATACATTTCCTTTTTCTATTGTTTTTTTTTATAATTTTTTGACCTTTTCTAACACTGCTCCCACCGGAGTGAAGCATGCGCTCCCTCCCAAGAAACATCACTTTGATTCAGGAAGCCATTTTTTACTTTGGTTTGATTTCACTTATCAAGGCAAATGCTGCTCACTTCGGTCTCCGGGCTGTCTTAGCCAAATTGTGATCAGCAAATGCGATTGTATTCAACGAGCTTTTGAATGGATAATTCCAACAGAGCCTCTTCCCGCGGGCCCAATGATCTGTTGGGTTCCTTTGCACACTTCCGGTGGAAGAATGACATGATCGATCAGTAACGTCGTTTTTGATAAGTATCTGTAAAGGCGTAAAGCCATGACTTCATACCAGCCAGTGATTTCAAAATGGTTTGGGAGGTTCGATCGATTCCTGAATCGATTTGGATTGTCGATCCAGCCAAATAGGACTTATTATCCAGTGTGAGAATCGATCCTTCATTAAATATGTATAATGATTTTAAATTTAAAAATATTAATAATAAATAAAATAGATAGGAGCTGAATGATTGGGCTAATCTGGATCGCCTTATTTTTTGATCAAATTGGACCAATCTATCAAAAAATGAGTTTTAAGTACTGTTAAAGATAATGGATTGGTACGGTAAAGGAGTTTAAATAGTATTTGATGTAATGGATTAGTAGGAGTGGATTGTTCACCCACCAATCCCGCGTTAGATTACCAGATCGCCAATCTTGGTCAATGATGATTTGGGAAAATATTTTTGAAAAAAACAAAATGAGAAAGAATTTTGATGTTTGTCCGCAATGGATTTGATTCCCATTTATTCCTGATTTGGATAGAGTGATGATTACTTTTGAATCACTTTCGAGACCCAGGTTGCTGGCTCAATCACCGCCTTGACATCTTTTGTTCACCGATCCAGCTAATATTTGACTAATTATTTAGTATGGGACTTGGTCCAAAAATAAATAAATTATTTTTAGTTTTTTTTTTTTTAAAAAGGTAAAAAAAAAGTGTGTACCAAGTACATTGGCTGATCCAAATCACCCAGTTCCCTAGCTGATCACTCCTAATAGAGAATTGGGCAAGTACCTATAGAACGTATGGACTACTAGATCTGTCAATGAACGAGGTCGGGCCCTATTAATTCCTGATTTGGATAAGTGATTTTCAAATCGGATCGCCATTTTTCAATGATTGCTTTATACAGTCACACCTCAAACTAAATTGGACATCACAATTTTGGCTTTAAAAAGAATTGTAAACTGATCATCTCTACCTTGATAACCATGAAGAAGAAAGATTTCAAGCCTTAAAATGAGTTGCATTCTAAACAATTTTTTAAAGAGCAATTATTTCAAATGTTCACAAAACCAATTTGATTTGTATCATTTTTGGAACTTCAAATTCTCCAACTACGAAAAAAAATACATTTGCAAACAATCACGAATTTCTTTGATGGTAAATTTATGAATTTTCATACCTCCAACCATGTGTGATCATAATTGATGTGTCTTTTGATCTATTAGAAATTTGATCAAGATAATGATGAGCTCTTAAACTAAATAAGAAAATTGAGTGAAATATAAAAGGGCAAATTTTCTATATGCCACCATTCACCTGTAGAATATCTATTATTCACGTTTCCCAATTATCCAATTTAAACGTACAGCTTCAAAATAAGAGAAAAAGCTAGCCTTTTTTTATAGTTTAAAATATACATTCTCAACTATCATATCTTGATTAAACAATTGAGTGAGTGTTTCAATATTTTAATTTTATTATTTTTCTGTGCGTTACATTGAGTTAAGCATCTATACTTCTCACCATCATGTATTTGTGAAAAACATTACAAAGACCTTAACAAAAAAAAAATGACTATAATATCCTAAAATTTGTAAGGGTATTTTGTCATTTTTTTTTTATCAATTTTTTTTTTTATGTTTCATATATGTGCACCTTAATGAGAGGCTTAAAAATTTCGACCTTGATCTAATTTGTAACAATAGAATAAAAACCATTGAATCTGACATAGGTCCATATGTTTGATAAATATGTAAAAATTTCCTAAAAAGTTGCACAGTGCTCCCAAACAATTATTCACCACAAAACTTCAAAAAGGAACTTTACCATCATATCTCATAAAACCTCATATTTTCAACAATAACAAACAAGTGACGTTTGGATCCCAAAAGTGACTACGTGGTCTCCGTGTGCGCTGCCTCATCGAGCACACACTTTCCAGGCGCAAGCCCGTGTCTCGCATTACTTCCTTTATTATAAATAAATTTATATTTCTGACTTTATTCCTATGAATTCGCCTTTTGTTCGATATTTCATGCTGGTTGGGGTTGATATAAGCAATTAAATGATGTTAAAAAATGCTGTTCCAGATAAATTTTAGTCTGAAAATATGTTTGTCATATCTGGTTATGAAATTTGAAGCTTAAAAAATGATGTAGGTCTAATAGATCTAGAAACATTTTAAAATCTTGAAAATGGATAGACTATTTTCATAAATTTAAATCTTTTTTGTTTTCTTTTTTAAACTCATATATCTCGAAGTCAAGATGATCCATAAAAGATTTTTTTAGATCAGAATGACTTTTCAAAGTATCATAAAACTCAAAAGTCAACTTTTTTTCCTTTGAAAATAGTCATCTAGTAATTTTTAAGCTGTTCTGAAAATTTAAACTATAGATGAATAATATGCTCCTATGGGACCATGATATACATGTCATCTTTCCAAAATAACACCAAAGGACGCGAAAACATGTGCATGGATAAGAAAAGGTATAAAATGGATGGTGCAAATCAAGTATCTAAAAAAGAATTTTTAAATTTTCTAAGAAAAACATTCAAATACACAATATCAACTGTCAGTTCAGATTAACAAACTCTAAAATTTTGGATCCAAAATACATTTTTAAGATGGATTTTGAAGCAGCCGATGCTCATCTACCGGGTAGGTCAGTTGATCCACTAAACACTTCAGCATATACTATAAAATGTCCCTATATTTCACATCGATCTAAGTGTATAATGTGCTAAGAATACGTTTATATGTCGAATTTTAATATAATTTTTTAGAGATCTATGTCAAATTTAATGATGATCATTTGGTGTCCTGCACACATGAGTGTGAGACGGTCTCGTATGATCATTACTTTTAACTCTAATATAACTTATTTTTAAAGAAAATTTGTTTCATGTCGGATTATATTTCTACAATAAAGTATCCATCTTAATGTAAAATGGTGGTCCATCTAAATACAAATGTAACTAATTGTCGAAATATTTTTTTTAATATTATTATTATTATTTATTTAGATTATATCTTCTCTAAAAATTAAAAATAAATTATATTTAAAATATATATTTATTGCCAAGCTGCATTTTTACGATATGCGGGCTGACCGCATAGAAACCGCGTCCATTTGTGAATGATATCCTGTCTCATTATTTGTGGCTGTGTAGGGCAGTTTAGTCAATTCTTTTAAAAACAGGTGGCAGTGCCTCTCGATTCTTCAAAACTTGGGGCGTCGTTCCAAGTGTATAGATCAATGGTTTAAAAACCGGATCGGTGACCCGGATCCGGCTTTTTAAAAATCAATCCGGATCGGCGAATCGGCGATCCGGATCGATGAATCGGCGATCCGGATCGGAATCGGATGAATCGGTCAGAATAAAACTTCAAAAAAATCCGAAAAAATTATTAAAATTCATTATAAATA